TCTCCGTGGTTAATCCTCCTTTATATAACCAGCTACTAGTCAGCATTTTAAGCTTCTTTCCCCTTTTTCATTAGAGAAATGGAGCTGTATTTTGATCTGTCTATGGTATATGCTTTCTAACTACAAGTGAAAGGGGAAAGAAGCATTGAAATGTTTGTACACAAAAGACATTTCTATCTCCCATATTTTGGGTGTAGTACATTTTTCAGAATGTTAATAATAATTGATTTAAATAATTCCAGTTTAAATAGTTTACCCAAACCTTTCATTACAATTAGGTAATATAAAACAGGCCAGATTTTAGGGTTATAACCTGGGAGAACACTTGTGATTTGAATTTACATATATGGGGTTCGTTACGTTGAGATTCAAGGGTATCTGCATATGAACCTGTAATCACGACATCTGTTTGAAGTTGTTTATTTTTTAAAATCTGTCTTCAAAGTACAACCAATGCGATTAGCCTTGGACAAAATCATTCCATGTCTAAGCATATTCAGTATTTAAAAACATCTTCAATTGGGGGGGGCGGGGGGAGATTCAGAACACAGACCAGGAAACAATCACAAAATAGTTTTAATTACTACTGAAACAAAAAGAAGACAAGTACTCCAGTAAGACTTGCCACTGTAGCAGTTTACCAAACACCTCAGAAAACTTAGAGGAAAGGCTAGCGCCATGGAACTGATCTCCGGTGTGATCAAACAAGCACTTTAGATGATGCAGAAGCTTTCTGAACAATTCGGTTTAACGAGTTATTTTGTCACTCTATTAGAAGTGGGTGACGTGATGAATAAGAACATTTCGGATAAGCAGTGACTACAGAACTGAGGTTTGCCCACTTTTTAGAACCAAAATTTAAAAAGCCAATGACCATCGTTGTGTTCAAAAACCTTGAAAGTAGGCAAACAAGCATAACACTTGTAACTAGCTGCACTCATGAAAGACGGGACCACTCCTTAAACACCGTATTGCCGCCAGAGGACACAAAATGCAGAATTTCTAGAAGGCTGTTTCACAGATGAGTAGTAGTATAAATTATTTACATCAGTATCTGTTTGCTGGTGTGACCACACCTTTGGGTGGTAATACTGAAAGGTAAAGCAGGGTCTAAGAACAGAGTGGTTAGGTGTTGGGGAATTGCGTACTTGATGCAAACATCTTCATAAATGTATTTTTCTAAAGTCATGATGCCATTTTTAAGGTACTGCTCTGGTAGTCTGCCACAAGGGAACTCTTAGTCACTAGCAATTGTTCATCTCTGCCCTAATTTTCTACCTTCAGTGGAAACACCTTAATTGAATATATTTTTTGAGTACTAGAAGGTGGGCACCCTAAATCATGCTG